CGGAGCTGGTTATAGATTCTAGGAGGGCAGCATGTGTAAACCAACTTCTGGATGGCGGAAAAGCACGCTTCTTCCACATGCTGGTAACTCAGTGACAGCTGACACCATCTCCTCAATGGCCAGAAGAGAAAGAACCACATCCGGCAAACAAAACTCACATACCCGTGAGAAAAGGGGACTCTGGAAGAAAGTAATCAGCACGATCTAAATTCAAATGGAGGTGTCCTGAAGCAGAACTTCCTCGGGTCCCACAATTAATGTCACATCCAGAAGGAAGGTGAGGCTCCTGGTGCCATATTCTGGGGTCTCAAAATCACAGACGCTCAGAGCCCCAGGAGTTGCTCCTGCATCCCTCAATATCCAGACTCCCTCCCAGTCAACATTCATACTAAGGACCCACTAAGACTGATGCCCAGACTCTGAAAACGTAAAGATGAGTAAAACAGTCCCCCTTCTCACCAAACTCAAAAGCCAGTGGCTAGAAAGACACAGAACAAGGAAACTACCCCTTCTGTCACAGAAGCTTCCACACGGGATCAGACATTAGGGGGAAATGACACTGAACGTGAGCACTGAAGACGCCAGCTAGGAGGAAGGGTAGTGGAAAAAAAGAGAATTGCATACTGGGCAGAAAGAGCAAAGAGCAAACATTAAGAAGCAGGAAAAAACAAGTTTTCTCCGGGTGTTCAATGAGGTGCTCACCTGAGTGAAGACAGAAATTATAAGCTAAGGGAAAATGCCCGTGAAAGACCCTGAGCCATGATCAGGAGTCTGGAGAGAATCCAGGAGGCAATGGGGAGAGTTGTCAGCCCTCCAAGCCAGAAGAGGGCATTCTTCGCTCATTCACTCATTCAACAAACGGTTCTCCTGGCTCCTCTAGAGATAGAAGGCTGAACAGAAGACAACCTCTTCCTTCCTTCCGGACGCTGGTACTCACTTGTGAAGACAGGTGATTAGGAAAAAAACAAGAAAAGTAAAGCGGGTGTGAAGAAAAGACAGTACAAGGAGTTTGGACACGTGTGGTACAGGAAGCTGACCTCGTTAAGGGTGAGGGGCCGGCGTGCTCAGCAGGGACCCAAGGGTTGACGCGAAGACTCACCGCTTTGAGCATGAAGGACGGGAAGCTGGGAAGGGTCACTGAGATGCTAGAGGAAGAAAGGTGGATTGGAGAAGGAATGAAGGAAGTAGGGCTTAAGAATTCGGGGGTCGAAGTACCAGCAACAACACCCCCCTTGAGTAGTATCCATAACCAACAGTCACTTGACCTCTGACAAACAGCTCTGAGCATGGGGATCTCATCACTTCCCCAGAGGGTGGACTCTGATACCTGGCGAGTCTAATTCTTACAGCAAGAGTTCCTTCTTATATGAAGACCATGTCTGCTTCCCCATAACATTTATGCATCGATCCTGGATCCACACTCAGGAGCAAATCACAGGAAGCCCATTCCCTCTTCTGGACATATTTCCCATTAACTGGGGAAGATCCTGGTCATTTCCAACTCATTCACATCAGATGCCAAGAACAGAAAAGTTCTAGAATGTTAGGGCCCCAAGAGCCCCCATAGGTGACCTTCAGTTTTATGTCATTTCATGCAACAGGACACAAAGGCCTAGAAAGAGCGGTGATCGTACCCCCAATCACCCAGCTACTCTGGCTCAGCTGATCTGGGAGCCTGAGACCACCCCCCGGCCACAATCTAGTGCGCTCTCAATGTATCTTGCTGCTGTGTGTAATCTAACTCCAAAACTTTGTGCTGAGGGCATCTGTATCTCCGGGAGAGCCAATGAAATTAAACAGGGTTGAAAAATAAACAAACTCACATAAAGTATAAATAGCATTTTCATGAAAACAGGCAGCAGCTCTGTCCCTTATTTATGGCTTCCCCTGCCTTGAAACAGAAAACTCACGGGTGTCGATAAATGGATTGCAAAGTTGTTATGTTTAACTACAGAGAAAAGCATGTCTCCCTGGGCTCTTTTGGAAATGCACAGATGTCCACTGGCAACTGGCAGGGGCTGCAAGGAAGTACCCTTTGTCTCCCAGTAAAGACTCTGCCTTTTCTAGAGTCTCCAATCTCTGGCTCAGGATAGGTCAGGCAGGTCATCCTGTGCCCTCACCCCTGACGCTGAGCTCCACCCCCCCACCGCCACACTGCACTCCTGTTTACACACCTCTCATGTTAGGTTTTTCATTACCTCTCAGGGCAGCTCATTCCAGCCCTGGACAGAGTGATCCTTTACTATGATGAGCTTGACAGCTGGCTCCCTGCCACGTCCCTCCATAGATTTGGGGGCCATCTCTCTTTCAGGTGACAGCCCCCTGACTGCTTGCTGAAGCTGATCATGTACATTTGCAGCTTCTGCTTCTCCAAGGTAAATAGCCCCAATTCCTTCCACTATTTCGTAGGTAACAAGGTTTGAATTGGCACTGTCATTCACCATGATTCTCCTAAATATGCTGACTTGTCTCGCCTGTTCTTAAAGTGTGGCATCCAGAAATAAATGCTGTGGTCCAGCTATGGACTAACAGATACCCTATAAAAGACACACATCACCTCTGTCATTCCAGTGAGAATACCTGTTAATGTACTCACATCATCTAGCCCCTGTTTAATGCCATTTGTGATTTGATCCCAAGGGGAGGATTTATGATAAGCATCAATGTTGATAAATAAGGCACCTACACCCAGTCGGTGCAGGTCACCTCAGAGTATTATTTCCTCGACCCTCCCCATTTCCCGTCGTCTATCTGCCAGTCTAATGAAATCATTCAAAGTCAAGGATCAAGGTCACTCCATCCACCAGGGCTGGCCCAGATAGTGTGATGGTGGAAAGCAGACTTCCAGCTGGTATCAACCTATCACTAAGCACAGACGATTATGAATTCTCCATACTGCAGATCAACTCCCAGTCTCCTTTTTTTAGAAACTCCACCACTTACCTTTGGGGGCCACCCCTCCCCCATTCTGACTCCACATGTTTTAGGGAACTCCTCTCTACCCTATGACCAAAAATAGGCACAGGGCACAGGGCTGGCCTCACAGCCTCCCTCAACCACAGCGATTAGTGTCTGGACTACATGTGAGCAGGGCCAATTCAATCCAAAGCAATACTGCAGAATTAGGGGAAGAAAGAACTCTTTCTATAGGCACTGGTGAGGGTAAGTTGTAAGCTAAAGCTTCCTCTGTGTAGATAAAACTGCCCTGAAAGAAACCATGGCAGACAAAAGTAGAGCAAAGGGAAGGAGGGAGACTGAGCTACAAAATTATCATTTGAGCCCCTGGATCCAGCCTTTCCTGATGCCTGTCCTACCTTTGAACTTACTGGTTTTGTTAGCTCCCAAATTCCCTTGTTGCCAAAATCATTTGGGGTTGGGTTTCCATCAATGAGTGCAGATCAAAATTCTGCTCACAGCCATCCAGAAAGGTCATGTGACACCGTGTCAAAGCTCTCGCCAAAGCCTGCTACCTCACTGAAGTCCTAATCTACAACATGGTATTGTAGACAGACACTCCAAATCTTGAGTCCAATAACCCAGGTCCATCCTGACTGGCTCTGGGGCTTGGACAGATCACCGCAGGACCTCTGCCCCACCGTCCTCATCTGTACCTACTACGTGGGATTACCACTGAGAAAGAGTCAATGCGTGCAAAGTCCTTACAACCACACCTGGCCCGCAGAAATGCCTAAAACACAATCATCCTCATTGTTGTTATTATTCTTACACTATTATCATTACCCATCCAGTTATACTGGCAAAGTCAATGTTTTCCTGTACTAGCCCTGGACTGGCACCGGGTGCTCTCAACCTTTTTTACAAGGCTCTTCCATCGTCCCCGGCACAATGCTTCCTTCAGTCTCTTCTAGGATCAACAGCAACTCACCTTCCTCCCTCTGATCTCTTTGCCAAAATGTACTCGTCCACTGCCATGTCATAATTTACCCCATTTAGCTGCTCAGATGGAAGCTCCTCTACTCCAGGGACCTATGGGACAAGGGAGTGACGGGGTGTGGTCCTGGGCCCTTTCCTGCTATGCAGACATACGGTGCTACCTCGATCACATGCCGCTGAGCAAACCTCAGAAAGTGCGGTGGACCTCCTAATTAAAAGGCAGCCCTGAGCTGTCAATAAAATTATGCATCAAGGAAATGTTTAAAAACACCATAGTGACATTCTCTCTCTCTAAAAATGAAAATCTTTGAAAAAAAGGGGGACAGGGGTTGAGTGTCGACTCTTGATTTCGGCTCAGGTCATGGTCTCCGGGTTGTGGAGTCGAGCCCCACGTCGGGGTCCACGCTCAGCATGGAGCCTGCTTGTCCCTCTTCTTCCCCTTTTGCCCCTCCCCTCTCTCTCTCTCTCTCAAAATGAATCAATAAAATCTTCGAAGAAAATTGAAACACAGGAGTGACTTCCTTGAGACAGGTTTTCACTTGAGATGTTTTTGACTTCAATTGGGGGGGGCAAATAAAAAGAGAGTGTCCTCCTTGACGCGGCCATTCCTTCTTCCCTCCCTGAAGCTCAGAAAACCATCTCTGATCCGTGAAACACTGCACTGCCTTTGAAACTGCTGGCTGGAAGAAGGGCGAGTCTCATCTTCTCTACCGATTTCTGCCAAGTGACAGGGACTGGTGTTTGATTTTATTTGTTTGGGGAGGGCAGCTCTTCTGTTGCATCCCTCTCTTGGGCCAGTCAGTGTGACTGATCATCTTTCACACCGGGCCCGGCCTGACAGCTCCAACCACCGTCTCCCACGGTGCCTGGGGCTCGCCTGGCCATCGCACGCGTGCCGCCTCCATGGCACGGTGCACGTCCAGGTCTGCTACCACCGCCTTCCCAGCACCGGGCTCGGCAGAGGCGCTTGACAAGAGCGGTAGCAACGGTAACAACAAAACGTTCAACGTGTGAGTAAACGAACAACTGAAGAATGAAAGAAACATGTGGCTCCATGAACAGTGAAGGAATCCCTCCGGGGCCCAAACCCTTCTCCCCTTACCGACATGGCGATCGACGTGCAAGGCTGGGATCTGACATGTACGACCCCCCCCCCCGACTGTATGCAGACGCACCTCATTTTGCTTTTGTTTGCATTTTGTCCTCCTCACTATGGACTGCCTCCCGCTACCTGTGTAAACCTGGCACGTCTCGGCCTGTGTCCGCACGCACGTGCCCCAACATCCTCCCGTTCCACAGAGTGACAAGTTGGGATCAGATGACCCGAGGGGCTTCCGAGGACTCCGGGGCAGCCAGTGTCCTTGTGCGTCCCTCCTCCCTCTCCCTGTGCGGAAGCCACCTTCTTACCTTCCAAGCTCCCGGCGAACAGGTAAAGCCAGGTGATGGCTGGGATGCAGAGAACGGTCAGCGAGGCAGCCAAGAATTTCCGTCTCCCTCTGCAGATTCCCAGCATCCTCTCAGAAGTGGCAACCCCTAATCCCAGCACCGCTTCTCTGCCCGGAGCACGGGGTCCTCGGCCTCCCTCATAATACTTTCTGAAAGGAAGAGCAAAGAGGAAGGGCTGAGTTCCCAGCGCTGTAAAAAGGATGCAGATTGCAGAGGGGGGGTATCCCAGAGATCCTGAAAGTATCTGGCTCCATGACGACTTCCTGCTGACCTTCCAGCCCAAGACACAATGCTGCAGTCTTACATCTATCAAAACCAAGACAGCTCTTTAAAAAGTAAATAAAGGATGAGGAAAACTATGACACTGCTCCCTCCTTCCTTCCCTCTCTTTCTCACACAGGCGCGCGCGCGCACACACACACACACACACACACACACGTGCGTGCGCAAGTATTTTATAATACAGATTAGTTTGAAGCCTGAACACACTTACTAAAAATGCATTTAGTTAGCACCTTGTATGTACCAAGCACTAACTAGGTGCCCTGTTTTCAGAAATGCCAGGAATGCGGGTTAGTTTCAAAAACACAGTCTAACAAGAGAGACCAACTTAAAACATCCACGGGCACTCCAAAACTGTGACGACTGAGAAGTGCATGCATGGACCTCTCTGCAAAGACCAAGGAAGTTGCTGACCGATCCCTGGGCGGTCAAAATGGCAGAACAGGTCCTGAGTTCGAGCCAGGGAGAGCCGTGGAAGGCGCCGGGGGCTGCCTGCTGGCGCACTCGGAGGAGAGGAGGCTGGGTTGGCCAATGTCATCTGCAGGGAACCACATCCCGATCACAGCTGATAACCTGCACTCACCAGGGACTGTCTTAATAGCTTCCATCTTTAATATGGAAGATGTCCAAAAAAGCGTGGAAACGATTAAAACGTGCAGAAGATGGAGAGGAACACAGATAACCTGTCACCAGCCTGCAGAGAGTCAGTCCCGAGGCCGGGAGGACTTGCTGAGACGTGTTCAAAGCAGAGGGGGAAGGTCAATGCGCACGGAGTAGAGGCCCAGGATCCTTCACCTGGGGATCTGACCGGCAGGTCATGTGCCTTATAAAGGAATTTAAAAACCAACAGCCCCGCAATCTCATCTCCACCTACCTCCGCACATCGAGGTCACACTGGCTGCAGGTGGAGCGAGGAGCCTCGCAAACAGAGCAGAACCTACCCCTGCGGGCAGCTACACAAGGCTTGTCATCCCCAAAGGAAATTGCTGGTTTGGGTGTCCCCTTGGGTATTCCCATCATGTGTCCTTCCCTCTGCCATAACCCTTAAACCCCACGGGACTATGGCCTGGTTGAACCGTCTGCCCTCCCCACCAACCTTGGGGTTTCCGAGAGACAGACATCCCGTCCACTCACCTTGCATTCACTAAGACGGGGCATACCATCTGTCACCTGTAGGCTGGCTGGTAACTGTCGGCTGAGCAAATAAATGGGCTCAGATTCTAACCAACGGCGGCCCTTCCAAGTTTCAGGAGTCTGTGTTCAGCAAGTTGCTGGCAATAAACACCTAATGGAGCCAATCTCAATTGTCAACGCCAGGTTTGCTTCTGCACCCAACTCTGACATGATTTTCTAAATGGCCCTCCTTTGAAACAGACGAATGATCCCAGGGCTGGAGGGTGTGGGCTAGCAAGGAAAACCAAACAAGCAAAATCGCTTTAACCAAGGAATGTTGATTGGAGGAAAATCCCCCGTGGGAAGTGTTTCATTCTGAAGCATGGGAAACAGACCCTCCACACAAACTCTGTGTGTCACCAAGAATTGAGGATCGCCCTGCCACTGGCCAAATCTCGCAGGAAGAACAGGGGACAGGAGGCTATGCAGTTAGATCTGGATTCAAATCCAGTTCCACGTGTGACTAGCTGTGACACTGGCAGCCCCCTGTCGCTGGGTAAGCTTCACTTTGTTCAACTCAAGCAACGCCCTCTCTGTCTGAGAGTCTTCAATGAGAGAGCCCTTGAATAAGTGCGGAGCAAAGGAACATGTGACAGGGTGAGCCCCACCTCGAGAGCTGAACGAGGAGCAGTACTCAGGCTTTTCCAGAAAACAGACCCCAACAAGTATGGCTGACACCACCAAATGGGTGATCTCAACCTGAACACCCTACTCGAATCTCCTTTAGGAGATACGACCACATTAAAATGGCCCTTTGCGGGTTTTTTTGTTTGTTTGTTTGTTTTCAGTTCACTTATAATAATAGTAGCAAAGACAGCTAGCAGTAATAACCTATGAGGTAGGAACCAGTTTTCATCCCCCTTTAAGGGATGAGAAACCGAGGCCTAAAAAGACCAACTGGCCAAAGGTTATACCTATGCCAACAACACGTCAGGCTCTCCTCTCCCTAAGGAACTGATTCTAACAACCTTTGCCAGGGGTCCTTTTCCCTCTGATCTATCCTAAATCCTTCATACTGAATCTTAGGATTTTTCTTCCCAGAGTTCAATATAACACCACTGTTTGCTCTCACTCAAAAAAAAAAAAAAAAAAAGTTTAATAGAGCAAAAACTGGAAAGCTCTTGGTGAATTTGGACTTCAGGGGAAAGCAAGAATATATATGGAGCTGAACTCAAGTGGTGTTAATATTTAAAAGCATTTTTAAAAAACTCTTTAAGACACTTCTTTTCCTCTTTTCCTCGCTCCATCTGCAAAAGTTAATTTCAACTGGCACGATTTGTCCAAAGTTTTAAAACAGAGTCTAGGGTGGTTTGCATTTTATGATAACACTGGCATCTGAAATTAAACCCAGCAGGTAAAAAATATTCCTTCATGGATTTGACTTTTAAATGACACCTCTGTACACTAAAAACACATTTTAAAGAAAAATCTCAATTTATATCAGAAGTTACTCTAGGAAGTCAATACAGGAATCAACACAAGAAGAAAGGAAGGAAGAAACCGAAGGTGGGCTGGAAATTACCTCCCACATGTGCAAATGTTGATGGATTAACTGGAAAACCAGTCTGGAACCTGCTTTTGCCTGGTCAGAGGGAGACACACTCCTGGGGCAAAGAGTCACCTTTAAAATGCCCCTGTCTCGGAACCCTCCTACACTGTTGGTGGGAATGCAAGCTGGTGCAACCCCTCTGGAAAACAGTATGGAGGTTCCTCAAACAGTTGAAATTAGAGCTACCGTTCGATCCAGCAATTGCACTACTGGGTATTTACCCCAAAGATACAAATGTAGGGACCCGAAGGGGTACATGTACCCCAATGTTTATAGCAGCAATGTCCACAATAGCCAAACTGTGGAAAGAGCCAAGATGCCCATCGACAGATGAATGGATAAAGAAGATGTGGTATATATACACAATGGAATATTATGCAGCCATCAAAAGGAATGAGATCTTGCCATTTGCAACGACGTGGATGGAACTGGAGGGTGTTATGCTGAGTGAAATAAGTCAATCAGAGAAAGACATGTATCACATGACCTCACTGATATGAGGAATTCTTAATCTCAGGAAACAAACTGAGTGTTACTGGAGTGGTTGGGGGTGGGAGGGATGGGATGGCTGGGTGATAGACATTGGGGAGGGTATGTGCTACGGTGAGCGCTGTGAATTGTGCAAGACTGTTGAATCACAGATCTGTACTTCTGAAACAAATAACACAACATATTTTAAGAAAAAAGGAAAAGAAGAAGATAACAGGAGAGGAAGAAAAGGGGAGTATGTCAGAGGGGGAGACGAACCATGAGAGATGATGGACTCTGAAAAACAAACTGAGGGTTCTAGAGGGTAGGGGGGTGGGGGGATGGGTTAGCCTGGTGATGGGTATTGAGGAGGGCACGTTCTGCATGGAGCACTGGGTGTTATGAACAAACAATGAATCATGGAACACTGCATCAAAAACTAATGATGTAATATATGGTGATTAACATAACAATAAAAAAATTAAAATGCCCCTGTCTCGAACTCAACACCCAATTCTTCTTGGCCAAGCTGGTCAATTTCTCCCACTAAACATCTACTACTCCATCTGTCTTCTCCCATCTGTCTTAACCAATGAAATTCACATTCATGCAAAACATTGCATGAGTCAGAAAAATTACTGTGATCTATTAAAGCCACAAAAGCAGCATTCACAGCTGAGAGTAAAATGTGATTACAAGTATCCTTCAGTCCAACATAACACATTGTATACACATGTACAAATACCTATAAAACTATACATATAAAAAAGATATAAAGGTTATAGGTTATCTCTGGGCATAGGATATGGATACTTTATATATGAATATGTATTTTTCCCAGATTTTATACAAAAAATATGTGTGGCTTTTATAATTTAAAAGTTGAATCACCATGTCTTCTTGTTATATTGCACGTGATTCAAAATACCTCAGCGCGAACAGTGAAGAATAATGAGTTAGTTTTACTTTACATGCGAGGTGCAGTGATTTAAGATCTGTAGGATTCTTGGGGAGCCTGGGTGGCTGCGTCTGCCTTCGGCTCAGGTCATGGTCCCAGGGTCCTGGGATCGAGCCTGGCATCAGGCTCCCTGCTCAGTGGGAAGCCTGCTTCCCCCTCACCCTCTCCCCCTGCTTGTGTTCCCTCTCTCACTGTCTTTCTCTGTCAAATAAATAAAATCTTAAAAAAAAAAAAAATCTGTAGGATCCTCATTGGGAATATACC